ATGGACTTAATCAAAATGATTTTTATGAGACACTGTCATTGAATAAATTATTTAATTTAACTCTATATCAATATCTGACAAATCTGAATTAAACATGGTCTTCAAAGATTTTGGTTCTGCTTGTGATTTTGGACTCAGGTAGAATTTGACAGATTGAACCAAAATAATCTCTGATGATGGAACTAATTTCCTGGGGTCACATCACGTCCTTACAGTAAGGTTGCACATATTTCATCCATCCATCCATCCATCCATCCATCCATCCATCCATCCATCCATCCATCCATCCATCCATCCATCCATCCATCCATCCATCCATCCATCCATCCATCCATCCATCCATCCATCCATCCATCCATCTATCCTTGTCATGATCTGGCCTGTTTGCCCCCCTTAATTAGTAATTCCTTTCACCTGTCGTTTTCCCTCCCTGCCTCAATTAGAATTTATTCCTCTCACCTGTTTCCTCTTGGTTATATTCAGTTCAGCCTGAGCATTCAGTGCCAGATCATTAACTGTTTTTCTGTTAGCCTGTATGTTCAGTTTATTTTCTTGGTTCATGTCCTGGATCCTGGCGGCCAGTGGAAAGAGGGTTTTGTTTGTGTTTGTCTCGTCTCCTAATCTCCACTTTTCTGATTATCTGCATTCTGCTGTGCGCTTACAGTGACAGTACTAGCAAAAATGCTTTAGTCAGAGGAAGCTGGAGGGATGGCCATCAGGATAAGGAACAAACACCTAAAGAGTCACATGATCAGTGGACCCTTGGAAAATAGCAGAGGACTCATTGCTCCCCTTTACCCACAGAGGGAAGAGCTCAGTCCCCTTTGTTCAGCTAAAACATCCCTCTCTCTTTGACCTCTGACCTCTCTAACTGTGGTTGGCATGACTTTATCTGAACCCGTGTCTGATCTATGGTAGCTGCCTGCCTCTGTCGCTCTCCTCTCCCAGACAGAGCTACTGGCCGAGCTTTACTGGTACCAACTGGATCGGCTCTCCTTCAGCTTCTAGACCTGGATTCTGGTTCAGAGCTCGTCTGTTTACTGTTCCTCTACAGGAGCCATTGCTGCAGCTAACCTTCTGCTTTTCAATAACATAGAAAGTGTTTATAGATCAGTGCTTCCAGTCTGCTCCTTCTGCTCTAGTTGGTCACAGGGTGGTCCCACCTAGCCTGGTTCTGGTTCTGCTGGAGGTTTCTTTCTCTCCACTGTCGCTGATCCATGTTGGATTTTATTACAGCAGAACAGAGTAAAAGTTCAAAATTCAACTTCAAAGATCATGTATCATTTTGCTGTGATAAAGGGGTGTGAATACTTTTCTGTGCTCACTGATACATGGTTTTTGCTATCAGAATATTTTGTCCTTGTATGAAAGCCTGAAATGCTTGAATAATCTGATTGATCTGACTACAACCTGTAAAGAAATCAGTGTGATGAGTCGGTATCCAGTCAAACCAATCGAGCAGATCGATCTGGAGGAGGCACACCGAGTTCGGAGCCCAGCATGTGGCACAGACAGAAAACTTCCCATAGATTGGCTCTGAAACCTGCTTGTCCCTCTGGTTTTTGCTCGTGGCAGAAGCATGAAAATCTTTACAGGTTTGCATTTGAATGATGCCAACAGTTTATTGGCAGAAGCTTTCTTTCATCTTTAGTCCAGCTGATCTGATATCAGGACTGACATGGAGAACCACCACGGTCCTCTTCTCTTCTCAGCAGGACATCCACCTCCAGACTGGACTTTATCTCTGACTGAGCCCAAGTTCTTTGGGCTGGAAAACAAGTTCTTTTAAAAGTGACTTCTATTTAAATATTTTCAGGTAAGACATTTTTTACAATACCAAAATAAAAAAAGCTGTTCCTCAAGAAGGTAATACTATTGTAAAAATATTTGCAAATGCTCATACTCGCCTCCCATGCAAAATGTTTCCAAACTATATAAAGGGTTGCAGAAACATAATGGAAATAACACCTTGAATATTAAGTCTAAGTGGGAAAGGGAATTGGGAGTAAGACTTACAGCGTGATTGCACCGGAAAAAATCAAAATCTAGATAAGTCATTTTTTCTTAAAATAAGTGCTTTTTTTTTCTTGAATTGAGGAGGTAAAAGAGACACTTTACCAAAGGAACAAGACAATTTGCATTTAAAATAAGAAATAATTGTCTTATTTTAAGTGCATTTTGTCTAAAAATCTTATTTTAAGAGTAAAAATACTCATTCCATTGGCAAATCATCTCAATTGCCTGCTCAAAATAAGGGTATATACACTTAATTTAAGAAAAATTACTTATTTCTAGATTGTTTTTCCAGTGTGGCTTTCAGTGCACATAACGCTACAGACATCTACCAGTTCTAAAAGATGGAAGGAATTCAGATGGAAGTGCTTAATCAGATACTTTATTACACCCCTAATTACTAGCAGACATAGAGAAGAAGAACAGCAATGTTGGAGACGGTGTGGCCATCAGAACATCAATCACTTTCATGTTTTTGGTCCTGCCCAAAGTTTGCACCTTACTGGGATAAATCTGTCAGACCACCAGGAAATTTTTGTGATATATCATCCCTAAAGACCCCAGGACTTTCTGCTGGGGCTGATATCTGGAGAAGTGTTTCAAAAAGAAGATGACTATCTTTTTACAATCCAATCAATTGCAAGCAATTCAAGCCATAACACTGTCTTGGCAAAATAAACTCCCTCCCCAGCTAGACTTTTGGCAGGAAGCCGTGGAGGAGATTCACTCTTTGGAAAAACTGACATATCTTATTCGTATAAAAGGACATTCCTACAACAAACGCTGGACTAAATGGCTGACATACAAGAGCAAGGAAGCATAACTAGGCGTAACATCTTGTAATGTTTTTTTTTTTCTTCCTATTTCAATGCAAATCAGTGCCCCGAGTTCTATGGGTGTTGTTTGTTTCATTGTAATGAAAAATGTTAAGAGTATAAAAAAAGTTACCTTAAATCATTAGTTTTAGTTTTCATGTTGGTTCCTGTATTAATGGGAAACAAATATCCTTTGAAGCAGCTTTAGAAAAAAAAAAGTTTATCATCATGAATTCAGTAATGACCTAGATAACTTTTATTGTCATTTTCTATACACAGTGTATACGAAATGAAAATTTGTTTTGTGCAGCCCTCTTTAAATTTCCATTTTCTTAAGGTAAACACCTTAGGTTCTTGTTTCTTACCGTGAATCGCTCAGCTTCTGATTCACTAATTTCTCTCCTTTCAGCAGTAGTTGATGTGTCCTCCAGTCTTTAAAACATCTTCTGGTCTTTCCACCTATTCCTGTGGACCTTCTCCTCGTTCTCTCCTTCCCAGTAGCTCTGCTGGCAGATTTCTGGCCTCGGTCTTCACAGCCAGCAGCTCCTCCTGGACAGGAAGCGTGTCGGGTCTAGATAGGCTCAGATGTCTTCCTGCTCAGCTGCTCTGAGACTTTCAGACTGAAACCTCAGTCTGCCATTCAGCCTTTGTTTAATTAGAACAATTACCAGCAGAGGACTGGGAACTGGACCTCAGTAGACGTGCAGGTCGTCTTAACTCTCTAAACTTTCTGTCTAATAATGCTTTCTGTCTAATAATGAATGATCCAAAAGTTCCACTTAGAGAACCAGTTTCTTTACTTTTTGAATCAGAACCAGTAAAAAAAACCCATCCTGATGAGCTGGTGCTGCTAGCTTCCAGTAGCAGAGCGGGCTTCATGCTCACTGATGGATGCTGGGAAGTATTGAATGTGAACACTGGGAAGGATCTCTGGGTCTGACCAGCATTCTTTCATTCTCTTTCAAGAAGCTCACATTGGAACAAACAGTGGAAAGGCACCAGGAAGCTGATAGTGCAAGTGGTAACTTAGGCATTTCCACGAGGTGCAGCACAAACAATAGCAGGAAGGACGGTCATGGGTTAGAGGGGGGGGGGGCTTTCTCATGGTTAGCGGGAATGAAGCTGGTGGACAGCGTCAGCACCAGGAGCTGTCCGCCATGTTTGAGGGGGCAGTTAGAAATCTGCCGAATATTTCCTGGAGTCTTTGATCATGTTTTACTAAAACCAAAAACTTTGAAGAGTTTAGAAGAAATAAATGTAAGAGCAGAAGATGGAGCAGCCATGTTTGTGTTTCCATCCTGTTTTATTTCAGTTTCTGAAGCCAAACATCCATTTCAGCTTAATGCTTGCCGTCATTGTTTGGCTCCATAGAATCAGAGTCCAGTTTTTCATTAACAGACAAAAAATGCTCCTTTCTAAGCAGCCTGGAGGAAGAAATGACCTGAACTGGAAGCCCAGGAACCAGGAACATCCTTAAACAAGGGTTCTGGGTTGAACCATCGACTCCAGCAGGGGGCTGGAGGCGAAGCTTTGCCCCCATCTTTATGAAATTAAAATCCGTCATTATGAAATAAAGATCTACCTAAAGATCTACCTAAATTTTAGGATTCATTTTAATGCCCCTGTCCCGCCCCTTCCTGTCTGAGCTGCTTCATCCCTTCATCGTCTCACTACCTTAGATCAGCTGACCAGAGATCTTCCCTTGGCCGTCAGACAGGTCTCTCTTCTTTAGACCCAATTTTTTATTTCTTAGCTTGTAACACAATCTCAGATGTTGACTTTGTCGTATTGTTTCTTTTATTAGGGGTTTTTATTACTACTTTTCTACACTACTTTATTGTTTTTATCATTGATTGTATCTTCTGATTGATTGTGGTCCAGTTGGTTGGTGTTGAAAGATTATAAATAAAATAAATATATATATACATTTGGTATGGTACACAACTAAATAAAAACTGAAAGGAAAAATTAAATATATTTCATAATAATGAAAAAATGATTTGATTTATATTTTCTTTTCCAATCAGAGATTAAACTTTTCAATTATTTCCAGCTTTTTTTATTCCAAAATGTCAGCTTTTCTTTCATTTTTACTGCAACGCTTTCAACTGGTACCACTTCGTCTCTGGGTCTGAGCTAAAGGTGAAGGAAAACACAGGAAGCAGTGGGCTTTCCACACACAACTTTACTGCAAACATTAGGGGTTGCCATGACAACATGTTGAGTTTCTGAAATGAAAACCGGCGCTCTAAAGAGACCAGTCAGGGAGAAAAAACTGAACTCATAAATAGAAACCAAGAGTGTAAACACAAATGATGCCCCAGCTGGAGGTTCTGATGCCCCAGCTGGAGGTTGGTGATGGTGAGAGGAGACCCAGAGGGGATGATGTATAACGGAGTCCTGGACCTGCTGCTGAGAGCGGCGCTAACGGAACCAAGGCTTGTCGTTTGCTTCAGGCAGCTACAGCACAAACAGAACCGACAACCCGATCAGGCGGCGCTGGAGACAGCCAGCTTCTTCAGGTGATCCATGAAGACCTGCAGACTGACGTCGTCAGTGAGGATTGGAGCCCCGGACTCCTGCAGAGAAAGCGGCCGTGTCATTGGATCAGCTGAGGCTGAGGTCAAAGGTCACTGGGGGTCTTACCTGTCCCCAGGCGTACATGTTGTTGTGGGTCTGAGAAGGGTTGACTTTGGAGAGCAGGAAGCGAGCCTGGAAACAGACAGAAAGTTCTATTCAGATGAGAAAACAGGCCGAGGTCCGTTCCAGACCACGACTTTGGTCCTGATGGAGAGGACCTCCCTGTTAGTGTCTACCCCTGATGCGTCTCCAGGTGACAGTGCCCTCACCTGGCTGCCGCCATGCTCTGTGTCGATGTATCTGGGCATGGGGAAGCGGGTGTGCAGCAGCTCCTGAGCGTCGTCCACTGGCGCCTGGAGGAGGTGTTTGAAGTTCTCGTACTCGGGCATGTCCTGGTACCTGGCCTTCCTCCACTGGGACACGGTCTGAAACAGAAGGCAGCTCAGACTGGACTGGCTCCAGACCCAACATGTTTGCTCTATCTCAGCATGAAGCTGAGCTTAGCTGATCCTGAAACTTCTACTCAGAATCTCTGGCCTCTTCTGCCATCTTACAGAAACAGAGAAACTGCTTCTTTGGAGCAGGATGATCTGATCAGGATAAATGGATGGGGTAGCAGAAAATGGATGAAGGTCTAATCCAGAGAACATTCAGACTGATGAACCCCATCATGAATGAGTTGGTACCTCTCCATGGTAGATGACGATCTGGAAGAAGGTGTCCATTAGCAGGATCCGGTCTGGCAGGATGCTGCTACTGTCCAACAGAACCGGCTGGAAAACACAGAAACAGACAATCTGATCAGACAACAGATCAAAGCCTTATAGGGGAACGCCGTTTTGTTTACATTGGGCGCTTGATTTTACGTTATTACATCATGTTCTAAT